TTCAGTCTTTTAGTGTGACAGCGCCCACACTTTGGAACTCCCCGCTTATTGACATCAGGCAGGGGCCTTCATTGCTAAAAACATTTTTTGTTTAGACAGACCTACCTAGATATGCATAATGCTGGCATGTCTCTTAATCTGCTTTTGACTTACCCTTGATTTTAATTATTTTGTTAATATTTTATATAGCTGTTTTTAAGAGTTTTCACTGGTATTATTGTTCTATTCTTTTTGTAAACTGCTTTGAGTGCTTTTTTTAAACAACCAAGTGATGTATAAATGTTATCAAATAAATAGATTAAAATATCTACCAACCTGAGCCATGTACAAAAACAGGCAGCCTCTGAGTGCATTCTCAGCCTAGGGATTTGCATTCAGAACTGAGGGTGTTGTATTCCGCTCACATCTACTCAGAGTAGACTCAATAAAACCAATGGGCATAAGTTTTAGTCATGCTCATTATTTCAATGGCCCTACTTTAAGTAAGCTTAGCATTGGAGACAACCCTGAAGTCACACTTCTTTCACACCAATGCCCACTCCTTGTTATCCCAAGTTTTCTTTATTTCAGCAACCTTATTTAATAAGCAAAATGTGTCTTTTCCTGCGGATTGCCATTTGCTCCAATCCAGTGGTGAAATGTGGGTTTTCTTGGGGAAAGCGGTGGGGCAAAACAAGACAAAAAACAAGACACAGAGACACAGAGCTTTAAAATGTGGACCTGTGCCTGTGCCACAAATGGAAGTGTGGATGAGCCCCTAGAAAGATTGTGGGTGGCAGGTGCCCTATTAAAATAGGCATATCTTCTCTCACCTGTGCACAGCTTTGGAAAAATAAAGAGCGCATCATGTTCTGTGTTGAATTATTATTATTAAAGTGTAGGTTTGGTCGATTAATATATTTCAAACCTGCCTGACTGACTAATTCTTTAAGGAGACTGCTGCCCTCTTAGTTATACTTATCCAGATTAATTTTGTTTTAAAGCTGGCCATGAGAGCCAATGGAGCCTGCTACTGAACGGATTGCTTCTCAAACAGGCTGTGTCCAGTCTGTCACTATTTTGTGGAAGGATACAAGCACATACAGGAAAAGTAGGCTTGTGCAATTAAAGTGGATTAATTGCTCTGTTGCCGTGGTGAAACCAATCTCATGGTTGCTTTTTTTTTAAAGTAAACTTTTGTGGTTAGAAAGGTGTTGGTGAAGTGCACTGTAAAGTGTGGGCTGAATGATTTGTTAGTGGGAAGGCATATAACCACTGTGGAAGCAAATGGAATGAATGTTCATTGCTATATAACCTCCCCACAAACAACTCAGAACAAACAGTAAAGTCAGGACATTGTCTAAACTCTGTGTAAACTTTGTGCATGCAACTAGGGATAAATGCGCAATAAATAAGTTGTCTGGGGAAGCCTCCATATGAAGTCACTTTCCTAAAATTCCTTAATGAATTTCGCCTTTCTCTTTTGGGAGGTGGCCTCCCCTGCCTCCCCTTTGGTTGATTTAACACCCTTTGGATGTTGTTGGACTCCAGATTGCAACAACTCCAGCCAGAATGTCTAGCAGTCATGAATGATGGGTGTTGGAGTCTAGTGACATTAGGAAGTTGGGGAAAGCTGCATTAATGCCAGAGGAGGTTGCACTGAGAGTGCCACAGCCGTTTGAGGTGTGACTGGTGCTGACTAGGAGAAGTAGTGCATTTGGAATGCCATGCGCAAGGATTAATGCATGGCCAACTCTGTTCTTCCATTTAGGAAACTGGCTGAAATGGAAATTTCACTCCCAGGTGAAGGAGATATTGTTGTGTGTCTTTTGTTTTCAAGTTGCTTTTGCTGTTGTTTTTGAATATTTCTTTTGGAAAAATGGCATACTCATTTTGTGTGCTGTTTTGAATTTGTTGTAAGACACTGGAATAAAAATCTAATGAAGAAAGAAGCATATTACAATGCAAGGGGTTTGAGTGAACACAAGAAGTAGCCTTATCCCGCATACGACCATTGGCCCATTAGGATCCAGCTCAGCATTATGTACACCAGCTGTCTCTGACTTGGTGCGCTCCAGATGTTTTTAATTCCTGCGCCTATGATCCCTGACCATTGCACATGCTGGCTGTGGTTGATGGATGTTGGAATTCAACAACATATGGAGAGTGGCAGTTTGGGATAGGGTTCCAGCCCTACCTGGAGATGCTGAGGATTGAACCTGGGACCTTCTGCAAAAGGCCTTCTGGGTGGGCTGCTAAGCCTGATGGATGATGCTCCTGCTCCTGCTCCTGCTTTGATTTGGTGTGTGTGTGTGTGTGTTCCAGCCCTACCTGGAGTTGTTTCTTCCTTGGAGCAGTTGTTTCTTCCTTGGAGCACCCAGTCTCATCCTTTGCATCCAGTTTCATCTTCCTCTTCTCCCCTCTTCTTCTCTTGCCTCCTGTTATGCAGTCGGTTTTGCAGCAGCAGCAGCAGCTCTCCCCCATACACTGTGTAAAGCTCAGACATCAAGTGTGGTTTGGCACTAGCGACTTGTGTGCCATCTCCACGTGAGAGTATGTGAGACTTGGCATCCAGCTTCCCTTTCCTCTAGTTTCAGAGAAAGATGCCAACTGCAGAGATTTGAGGAGAGGATGCAGAACCTGAAGTGTGTGAGTCCCTCCAGCTCTGTATGGATGCTGAAAATAATTGGCCTGATCTCGTCCTTGGGCTGTCCCTGGGGCACATACTTGCGGAGGCGGGTTGGGGGGGCAGTTAAAAGCCTTATTGTGGGACTCACTGATCTTTTGTGTAGGACAGGAAGAGCTTGCTGGTGGTAAGAGCCAATAGTGGAATGGACACACTCGGAAGGTGGTGCACTCTCCTTTCTTGGAGGGTTTTAGGCAGAGGTTGGCTGGCCATCTGTCATGGGTGCTTTAGCTGAGATTCCTTCATTGCAGGGGGTTGGACTAGATGACCCTCTAGTCCCTTCCAACTTTAAGATTCTGTGTTTCTATGATTCTACCTTCCAACTCCAATTCTATTATTCTGTGAAACACAAACTTAGGAAACTCCCAGTGTAGCATTTGCAAAATGGGACAAGTTCCACAAAATTGGGCCCACAATAGTCAACACACAGCTCCTGGTGGATCTGTTCTGTGCATCCAAGCCATGGGGACCACTAACAGTGGCTGCCCCAAAGATCTCAGTCATCAGGCAGCCCTAAAGGTATCCTGGACCCAAGTTGTTACGGGCATTGTCAATTAACAGAAGAACCTGGCCTGGTAGTGCCTGAGCAACCAATGTACGGTAAGCTTTAGAGCACCAGAGTTATGTAATAGCAGTAGATGTTGTTGGACCACAACTCGCATCACTCTTGTCGTTTGGCTGTGCTTGCTGACAGGTGGCTGTCCTCTGAGACTGATGAGAGACGGACCCTGGCAGCAAACAGAGCCACAGCTTAGCCACCCAGCTCTTCATACTCTCGGGCAGAAGCCTCCTCTTTCCTTGCTGCCCAAAAGTCTCGCAGCTGGAAATGCCAAGGATTGCATTTTCCTGGGGGTGGGGGGTGGGGTGGGAAAGCAGTGGCTTCATTCCTCACAACGATGTTTTGGCAGAAATTAGTCCCTTTCCCCGCAATTTGATGTTTATTCCTGGTTAACAGTAAGTGTACCTTGGAGTTTTAGGATTACTGGTACAATTACACAATATGTGCAGAGATGGGGAGGGGGTGGAGGGGAGACAGATTTTCATAAAACTGCCCTGAGCTGCGAGCAGCTGTTGCGGAGAACAATTAATGGGAAAGAGTGAAAAGGGAGACGCTGTCAGGAGAGTGAGCTAGGTTTTTTGCAGCTTTTTTTCTGAAATGACCGATTCTTCCAAGAGGGGGAAGAGCCACAGCTGGAGCAGCCCCTGTGCATGCAGAAGGTCAGTGGTAGGGCTGGGAGAGAGCCCCCTCACTGTAACCCTGGAGAGCTGCTGCCAGTCAGGGTAGACAATGGTGAGCGAGATGGACCAAAGGTCTTAATCAATACAAGGCAGCTTCCAACTCACAATGCTTTGTCAGGATGTTGGGGAGGGAAGGGTCACCTGTCAATGGATCAGAAGCAAAAACGTGAGATCATAGAAACATAGAAGAGATGACATGGTCCACGATCATCTAGTCCAACCCCCTGCAATTCAGCCCGGGCTTGAACCCACAACCCTGGGATTAAGAGTCTTGTGCTCTACTAACTGAGCTCTTGGTATCCTCCAAATGTTTTGGACCCAACCAGCATGGCCAGGGGTCATGGAGGATGGGAATTCTACTCTAAATTAATAGTCTTCAGCTTTTTCAGACCTGGGGCCCATGTATAACCCAGACATGTATTTGAGGAACAGTTTCTTCTTCATATTTTTAGCCATATATTTGTACAGTGGTAGTGCTGCAGTTGTAACCCTCTTTAGACCAGGCTGTGACCTGGTAGGTGGGTTCCAACCTACTGGTTGAAGACCAGTGGTCTAAATCAGATGTGGGGAACCTTTGTATTACCAGATGATGTTGAACTACAACTCCCATCAGCCCCAGTATGCGTGGCCAATGGCTAGGGATGATAGTTCAGCAACAACTGGAGGGCTAAAGGTTCCTCACATCTGGTCTGAAACGTGGAGGGTACTAGGTTGGTGAAGGTTGGCTTAGGAAGTGAAAAGAAGGAAGCCTTGGTGCAGGTGAGCGAACTAGCATGCATCTCTGTGGTCTTGCATCTTCTGGAGACTTAATGTTTTGCATGGCTCCAATGCTTGTCACCATCAACACAATCTGCTTTGAGTGGAGAGTTGTCATCAGTGGTTTTGGGCAGTTTTGGTTGTTGGGCAGTAAATCTGTTCATACTTAAGGGAGTTGCCCTTTTGTTTCCAATCTTATCAACTCTTCTCATGCTTCCAAACTGAGTATAAAATGAAGGTCTTGCCCACTGAGAGAGCTAAATGACAGGTTGACGAGGCTGAATGCAGGAGACGGTGTTTGTGGATGGTTGCAGGCCTGTAGAGGTGATGGAGTAACTCACCTGCCATAGTTCAGTGGTAGAGCACCTGCGTTGCGTACTGAGGATCCCCGGTTCAACCCCAGGCATCCAGGTAGGACTGGGAAAAACTCTTAGAGTTGCTGCCAGGCAGTGTAGATAGTGTGGAGCCAGATGGTCTGACTCTGTAGAAGGCAGATTCCTATGTTCCTCTGCTGGTCATCTCAAGACAAGGAAAAGAGTCTGGCATCTGCCCACATAGAGTGAATCACCAGTAAAAAAGGGGAGGGAACTGGTGAGTTTTATTGGGTAGGTGAAGGTATATAGTTAACTATATTTTCTCTCATTACAGACCCACATATGTAGGTTAGCAGGGAAAAGGATCAGCTTACTGCTTGCATTTGAAAAGCACAGGGCTGAGCAAAGTTTAAATCTCACACATTTTAATCGAATGCATAGGAATTAGCCATTAGACTGGACTCCCCCTTTATGACCCCATTTTTCAGGGAAACAGGTTACATACCGAAAATACCTGTGCCTGATGCTGGAACAAGTGGACAGATGTCTGTTTCCATGGTTGGTTGAAGAGAGAGAAGGTGGAAGGAACAAGAAATACTTCTTTGCTTCTTCCTCCCAGGAGAGGAGGGGAAATGACATCACACAGAACCTTCTCTACCAATTACATTTCTATGGTCTGAATCTCCTTATCAGCAGTTCAGCTCTATGGTCTTAACCCCCTCACATGCTAACTGGCAAGAATATGCATTATTAGATTTGACTGAATGTCTCCCAAAGGGGCCTCCCAGTTGCCAGGAGTGTGGGGAACACCAGTTGGTACTAGCAAACAATGGTCGCTTTGTCGTCCCCACTCCCCTGGTTGGGGAGGCTGCCTGTGATTAAGGTAGCAAACTTGGATGTGGGCCTCTTTGTGAGGGGCAGCTGCTAAAGTGACAGCCATGCGCCTCCTCAGTGGTTTAAGGTTACACACCCAGCCATCTGTCCTCTGTGTGAGGAAAAGAAGAGAAGGGGGAAGGACATATGAAAGCAGTTAGTGCCTACTTTGAAACAAACACATATGAAATGTTGAATGTCTGGGAGGGGTACACTACACCTGCATTCATACAACCAAAGCACATGCTTGGTGCGTTCAGACAGCCAAACCTGGAATTCCTGAGAACTTTCTTGAGGATTCCTCAGCAAGATCTGTAATGGCAGTACAAGAATGTTTTTTAATCTGCCTTTCTCCCCCTTTCAACTTTGCAGGATCGGGGCCTAACAGGAAAACTGGAGCCGGTTTCACCAGCCAGCCCTGTCCATCCTGACTCTGAACTGGATCTGTTGCCATCCAGGCTGTCTAAGGAGGAGCTGATCCAGAACATGGACCGTGTTGACCGTGAAATCACCATGGTTGAGCAACAGATTTCCAAGTTGAAGAAAAAACAGGTAATTCCTCCCCCAAACAATTGCTGTCACTGAAATAGCTTCCCTGAACCTCATGTTTGCTAATCAGGTTACAGCTGGCATTTCAGCGTGTTTCAGAGTGTAACCAACCACAGAAATGAGCTGGTTTTAAGACATTTGAGCCAAAGTCGGCCACGTGAGTTCACAGCTCTGCCATGCAAAGGCACACTACTAGCATAGTACAGTGGGTGGTGTGTAATGTTTTAGGCAGCAGCAACCACAATACCAGCTGCATTTCCCTTCCTAAACTCCATTGCATGTGTCATATTCAGGGCAAACATTTCCCCATTCCCTCCCCAGCTGTCATGGGTCCCTTGGCTCTGTCAGGATCTGGCATGGTTTGGCAGCCCCAGACACAGGAGGAGGAAGGAGGAGCTGATGGGGGGCTCAGTGAGGGCCTCTCCTTGTGAGGAAGCAGATCTGCTGGCTCTGTCCCTCCTGTGGAGCACACAGCCTCATTATGGAAGGGTGAGGACTGGAAGGAGCCTCTGACAGGAAGCGTCACAGCTGGAGGCATAAGGGACAGTCTTGTCACCAAGAACCCAGTGCCACCTTCTTAGGTGGGATTGTATGTGTGAGAATTCTGTGAGTGAGCCTGCCCTGTTGGGATGTCATTGTGGCTTCTGTTCAGTTGTGAACCTCTTGCCTTGCTCATCTACCTTGGGATCATGACTTTGGCCCTTGTGCTTGCTGCTGAGCCTGTGCCACCAGTAGCCTGAATAAAGATCTCCACCTGGACTCTTACTCCAAGTAAGAGTCACTGTTGCAGTGTTTTGGGACGGGAGCCTGACACTGCACCTTCTGAGGAAGGTTAATTTGATATGGGGATCATTGCCCTCACTCTGAATTAGCCTCGTTTGTCACCAGTGATTTTGACACAACGCCAGTTCTAACTGGGTGGTTTAACAGCGAGGCATCACATATGCAATATGTTCCCTTATTGACTGTAATGGCACTGTGAGGAACAACAAAAGAACAGCAGCGAAGCAGTTGCCTAGAGGGGTAAACAGCTGTGGGCAAGCAGATGCAAATAGAGGGAGGGAGCTTTGGAGATGGGCGTTCTTGCCCCCCAAGTGCTTAGCTGAGAACTTTGATTAGACATGGCCCTAATTTTCAGGAGATTGATTCTCCATATGTGTATGCTGAGAGGGTTAGTTTTTAGATAGCAAAGAACTTGTCAAGAGCGTAAAGGCAGGCTGTCTTCTCTGTGCATGTGGTAGAATCCTCCCCACCCCCAAGCAAAACAAGTTTAATTAATCCCAGACACCTGCTTTCTGTTGCTGTCTGTCACAGCGCCATTGAAAGGGCTTAGGGGCTGAAGAGAGGAAAAGATTTCAGAAGCAGCTGCACAACCAGGCCCTATAGAGTGACTGCAACATCTGGAACTACCATCTTGGGAGGGTGGGTGGAGGGAAGACAGCAGTGGGAAGGCAAAGAGAGGTATGGCGCTTCCATTGTTTTATTCTGTTGCCAAGTTTAAAGATCCAAGTAGATAAAACATTTGGATTTGCAAACACTTCCCTCCCTTTTCATTGAAAGGAGTCTTCGGGGGGGGGGGAGTGCTTCAGTATTAATAGTGACCTGTGCAAATGTGTCTGATGGATGCATTTGTATAAGTTCCAGGAGAAGAGCCCATATCACAACCATACTGCTCTTTACAACACCCCACAAACATACTGCATAAGGACGGCACAGTCAAATGCAGTGGGCTGTTTCTGATTAGTCACAACACCAACAGATGCTTCCTGCACAGGGGTGTGTGTTTCCAGGAACATTTTGATTATTGCTGGTTCTTGAGATGCTACATGGAGGGAGAAAGGCAGGGAGCAAACCATGCATGCGAGGTGGAGCTCCTTCTGCAGCAGCATCAGGAGCATGTTGTATACATGGGCCTTGCATTTCAGTGCATTTTTCCCTCCCTCTCATTGGGAGGCCTCCAGGAAATAATGAGTCACATTTTTAGGCCATGCAAGCAAAGCCAACATCCTTGAGACTTCCAAAAATGGAAACAAAAGTGGAAAATGGAAGACGAAACAAAACTGCCACAGCTTGCAGTGTGGAGAGTCTATCTGCAGCCCAGACATCGTCAACTTGAATGTTGCAGAAGGTCTTGTCTGTTGACCCTTGTCTCCCCACCCCCTTCTGTTAATGGAAAGCCACATCTTAATTAGTTGTTTAGCCCACATGCTACAGTAGCTGTCCTCAGCCTGATGCCCTTCAGATGTGACTGGACTACAACTCCCATCATCTCTGACCATTGGGCTGATGGGCATAGTAGTTCAACAAACATCTGGAAGGCACAGACTGGAGAAGGTGGCTTCTTCTATGACAGCTCTTTTCCTAACATTGCCCACACTACAGCTGTGCATTCCATAAAGCTGTGTCGGGAGTTTGGCTGAAGCCATGTTTGGAAGCTGTTCAAAGTGGTCTTCCAGGTGAGGGCTGCCATGTACTGTATGATAAAGTAGTGATCCATGTGGGTGAGTGGAATAGCAGAGCTTGCAGAACAAACTGTACCACAGTGTAACCTGCTTTATTAAGAATCTAAGAACATAAGAAGAACCTGCTGAATCAGGCCTGTGGCCCGTCTAGCCCAGCTTCCTGTCCTCACAATGGACACCCAGAAGACTGTGGGAAACCCTTAGGCAGGAGCTGAGCACAAAAGCACTCTCTCATCTTGAGGTTTCCAGAAGTGTTGCTGCCTCTGATCACAGAGGCAGAGCATAGCCATTGTGGCTAGTACCCATCGATAAACTTGCCTTCCATGAATTTGACCAGTCCTTTTTAAAGCCATTCAAGTTGGTGGCAATCACTGCTTCCTGTAGGATCAAGTTCCACAGTTTAAAATGTGTGCTGGTTCCTTAAATATTTGGGAACTTTACTGGTGTTATCCTTTAATATAGTGTCTTCAGCAAGTCGCCCGGTTCCTTTAGCCTCCCTCCCCACATGAGCTTTCCTTCTGCACCTTTTACCATATTTATAAGCTCCCATTGGTTCTTCTTGAGTTCTAACCACTCAACTTGAATGTTGGTACCTAAAACCAAATTTATGAAGGAATTCACAAGACTTGAAATGGAAGCCTGTTGGCCAAAGGCTGGGGACTAGTCTAAGGGATTGTCTGGTTTCAGACCTTGCAGCCCTTTTCAGATGCAGAAGGCATTAGTGGTTTGCAGCACCAACCCTTCTGATTAGCGAGCAGAATGAAGTCTCTTGATTGGCCTGGTCTAGTGAAAAATAAATAAATAAATAAATACAGGGAGCAGGATCTTTCGGCTCTTGCACTACTTTCTGACTTCTGTCCAATCTAGCACCTCAAGATACTATCTTCTGGGACACACAGGGTTTTATCCAACAAAGTCATCCCATCCATGCAAGAATTTCTGCTTGTGCAACAGAACTCCCCCCACTCTCTCCGCCCCATCTGCCCCCCTCCAGTCTGTACTGGGCATTCTGTTGCACACGCGGAAGTCCTTGTGTGAATGGAATGACCTCATTGTCCCAAACCCTCAAGGTCCCAGGTTGGTGGGAACAACACCGTACTTCAGTGGTGGGGAACCCCGTGCACCTCCAGATGTGCCTGGTGATTGGCCATGCTGGCTGGGCTGATGTGGATTTGCCCAAAGGCTCTCCAACACTGCCATGCTCCCAGCAGCCTTTTTTGAGTGTTGAGTGGAGAAGAGCTATAACTTCCCAAGTGCGTGACCAACATCTGTGATATTTTTGCCTGCAACTAAAATGAGAAATTGGTTCAAAGTTCCTCTTAGAAACTGACTGGCTGGACATTTGCAGCATTGATGGAGACTCAGGGTCATGCTGTCACCCCCTCCTGAGTAGCCGCAGCAGGGGGTTTCTCTCTTGCAGGGAAGGAGAGATGGCACGCAATTGTTGGCTGGGGAGTGGGAAGAGCAACTGGTAAACTGCCAAGACTCATTCTGATTATAAAGGTCACAAGCTTGGCTTCTGTCCCCCACCCCCAAACATTTTAGACCTTTATAATAAAATATATTGTATGTCCACATTGACCTGCATTATTTTTGTTTTCTGTTGTCTTTTACATTATCTGCAAATCCCAATAGAGGCTGCTTGCTTGGCCAGCCTTTATTGTTTTTAGAGGGTGCTGAGGAGACATTTCTGTTGCTGGCTGCCTGCTTCTTGGGGACAACTAGCAAGGCACATGCTTTTCTGGGATAAAACGTGGCTGCTGATATTTTATTTTGGCTGCAACACAGAAGTCCTCCTGGGTAATAAGGAGCATATATTCTGCAAAAAAGCAGTAACATACCTATGGGGGATCCTTTCAGATTAAGCTCCTGGGCTCAACTGTGGTATAAAAGCCTCTTGTCTCAGGGCCTGATTTGACCTCCTGACCATCTCCAGCTCTTGGGAGTTGGCTAGTTCCTTCCAAGGCTGGATTTGGGTGCCATGGGAAATGATGCATTTGGTGGGAGTTGGGCGCGGTGTGATGATGTTGTTCTCTAGGGTTCCCTATTCCCACCAGCTGCCGCCAATGAGTGAACTAAAGAAACTTGGAGCACTGCAATGCCACACATCTGGCTTTCCTAGACCAAGGATGGGGAACCTTTGGCCCTCCAGATATTGCTGGACTACAACTCCCATTATTCTTGATCGGTATGGGGCATTATGTGTTAGTACCAACACTTTTAACTTGGCCTCGTAGCAGATTGGCAGCCATTGCAAATTCTGCAAGCAAAGTGTTATGTGCTATCAGTAGTCCCGTCCCGCCCCCCCCCCCCCGCCAGTAGCCAAGCCGCCATGTTCTGCAGCTGCTGCTGCTTCTGGACCAACCCCAGGGGTAGCCCTACTGGCTGGGATTGATGGAAGGCTGAAGGTTCCCCTCCCCTATCCTAGGCAATAGTAGGGAGGTTGGCAGAGAGATGTGGGACAGCCTCTTTCAAGAGCAGCTGCATATCTTCCATAATGCCTAGTTCATCCAACAATGCCTTTTGTTGGGCATTCTCTACAATGCTGGAGGCAAGTAGGCAGGCAGACCATTGCTTGTGTCTGATCCCCTTGTCCTTTCTCTCCTTCCAATCCCAAAGGGTAATGCCCAGGTATCAATGCAGCTCGACTGTGCACAGCCCTTGGAAAAGGTCCTTTGGCCTTCAACTCTTTCCCCCTCCTTTTAGCATCCATCCTCAGGCAAAAAAACCCAAGCAGGCTTGGGAGGGCTGTCTCTGTGTGCTTGGTGTAACTATTGTTCCAGCTATTAATAGCACCGGTGTGGCTTCATTCTCATATAACACTGAACTATGGTTTGTCCAATCATTGAGGTTTTGTTTTTTTAAAAAGCATGCAAACAAACAAACAAACAAACAAACAAACAAACAAACAAGGTGTTGTCTCATAGGCAAGCAAACAAGCTATGGTTTGTTTCTCCAAATTTGGTTTACCAGCTTCTGTTGCCTCCTATTTCTGTAGCTTGGTGAGCATCTGGGGTGGGGTGGCCAAATGATCCATGGTAAAGTAAGGTTGTTGGGGTTAGGCCTCACATCAAATCTTAGCTCAAAGCAACCCTGGTTCATAAACCAACAAGAAACTCTGGCTTCATTTCATGATTTGTTGTTGGAAAACAAACCATGGTTGGTCACAGAATCATAGAATTGTAGAGCTGGAAAGGACCAAGAGGATCATCTAGTTGAACCCCCTGCAGTGCAGGAATCTTCTGCCCAATGTGGGGCTCAAACCTACAACCCTGAGATTAACAGTCTCATGCTCTTACCAACTGAGCTATCCCAGTCAGCTGCGCTGCATTCACACATTCAAGCCCATCATATTTAAACTAAACAAACCATGGTTTAGTGTAATGTGTGAACCAGGCTATTGTACTGAGGAGGACAGCTGGACCAGAATCCCTTCTATCACAATTGGAATGATGTGAGGGCTGAGTGAACTGAACTTTCTTAATAATCTTCAATTGATGAATTGGCTGTTATTGTGGGGTGGGGGGAAATGACTTGATCTGTTCTTTCTCAAAAATTAACCTGCCAGTGAATCCTAGCCAGAATTTCAAATTGACACTCTATACATTGGAACAGACAGGTTCACAATAGCTTAGGAAAGGCTAGAGCTACACTTGACAAAAATCATACAGGCTAGAAACTTATCCTTTTTTTAAAAAAAGCCATAATTAAAGGTGAGAGTTGCTTCAAAACCAACTGTTTTGCATGTGACTCACCCCAACCAGAATTAGTATGTGTCACATTTGTGTAAATCATTGCATCTGTGGGTGCTAGGGAATTTCAACCAATTGTGCAAGTAGTGATGAAGAGTTAGACCAGGGTGGGCAACCTCTTGCTCTCCAGATGTGGGGCTCAATTTCCTATCATCGCTGACCATGGAGGCTGGGTCTTTTGGGAGCTGGAGAGACCACAGCAGGTTCCCCAGCCTTAATGGCAGACTGTGAGCGCAGCAATGCCACATGCAAGTGCTCACACTTTTCTCTCTTCCCTTTTCAAAATCCCACAGCAGCAGCTGGAGGAGGAAGCAGCAAAGCCGCTGGAGCCAGAGAAGCCCATCTCCCCTCCGCCTCTTGAGTCTAAGCATCGCAGCCTGGTCCAGATAATCTATGATGAGAATCGGGTGAGTCCTGAGGTGCTTGATGCTTTGGGGGAAATTCTCTGCTCAGGCAACCCAGAGCTGGCCCCTTGAATGGGTCACGGTTATCCAAATTGTGCCCTTCTGTAAGATTTCTCTTTATCTTGCATAATTTATTCCGTAGCGTTTACTGTTTTGCACGGCTTGTTCCTCACTTGGTTATCTTTGGGAGTGGGGCACAGACCTGGATGGCTTATCTGCCCCTCACCTCAGGAAACCGCAGTCCTTTATGTCGCTGGCTTCTTGAGATGCTGGCACCGCTGCCAACCAGTGTGTCTGGCACCTCTCTTCTCCCCTCTCCCCCTTGGGCTCTCCACTTGCTAAAAGCAGCTCTCTCTTCATGCTAGCTTTGCAGGGCATTGCGGAGCAGCGGCAGCACCAGCACTTCCCCTGGAGACTGGCTGCTTTTTCACCCGCCCACAAAGACTGCGGTGTTTTCTCTCTCAGATGCAAGTGAGCCTTTGAGCAACCGCCTGCGAGCTTCCTTTTTTGAGAGCTGACCTCATCGTTTCTCTCTGTCTTTTCCTCGTCAGCGCTCTCTTTCTCGCTGGAGAGGGAGAGTTCATGTAAGGACACCCACTGCAGCGTTTTCCCTTTCACGGCTTGTGCTGCATCAAGAAAAGGCAAAGCCTCTCTCTTGAAAGGATCAATTAAGGCGCAGCATCCTGGTTTTCTGGATCCTTTAAAGTCTCCCCCTTCCCCAAATCCTCTGATGGAGAGGTAGGCCGGGAAAGGGTGACAGTTGGCGGCAGAGAAGCTCCAAGCGTCTCTTTCCAGGCCTTACTGCCTGCTGGCTTTTAAAAAATGCTTTTTTAAAAAAGAAAAAGGAAAGGAAAAAAAGAAAAAGAAAAAACCCAGTGTGATGCAGCAATGTCTGTTGGCTCTTGGGACTGTGTCTGTAAAAATCAATAAGATTAAATTTTAATTCCTTCTCTGTCTCAGCACTTGTATCTCTGAAAGGGCATAGCTGCCTGTCTAATACACACAACATTATGCTAAAAAATTGAGAGTTGAAGTACTTTCTCCCCCACCCCAAGTAGTGAGTTCCTCCCCACCTCTAAAGAAGAATGGCTGTACTGTAAGTGTTGAATTCATTTTATTGGTAAATCTTACGAACACCCCCCTGCAATTATAAGCAAATTCATGGAGGTTTCGTCTGTGGGTGGCTATTAGCTACCAGTGGTTAATGATTATTTATTTCATTTATGAATTGGTTCCCGCGAGGCACCCTGAAGCAATTTACAATATAAAAACACATATAAAGCAGTTACATGTATAAAAACAGTTAAAACAACTGCAGATGGTGTGTGTTGGTGTGTGCAGGTGTAGCTTCTGGGCTTGAAGGTTGTGCCAAAGACTTCGTGGACAAAGTGTGTTTTCAGGAGACATTCAGTAATTGTTTTTATCATTTATGAATCAATTAAATCCGGTTGCCAGCTGTTTATAAATAACCATACGAGTTTTTAAATCATATGAGTTTTTAAATGCAATAACCCAACCTGATGTCCTATACACATCTGCTGAAGAGTAAGCCCCAGCCGAGTGGGGCCTTACTCCCTTGGGAAGTGGGATTGCAATTGCAACCCAAATTTCTGTGAGTTTACAAGTAAAAAAAATGGCATCGTTCTAAATATTTTAAAACCACCTTACTTTTGTTTTTAGATGATGCGTACGTTTGTGGACAGGATGTTTTAATGTAGGGTTTTTTAAATGTTGGTCTTAATGTATGTGTTTTTTGCTTAAAATATTGTAAGTTGCTTTGAGTTGCTGTGGGAAACAAAGCAACTAATTAATAATCATCATCATCAGGGAACTTTCTTAGTTGATCCAAAGGTTTTGGGTTTTTGTTTTTTGTCTCTCCCCCCCCCTCCAGTTCATTAGCCAAATAAACTAGTGGAAATATCCAGATAGAGTAATGCAGGAGTGTAAAATAGGTTTCTAATTGCTGGTAAAAAAAAGTCCTTGGGGTAGAATTGGAGAAGGAAAGCAGTTTTGTTTTCCCGTCAGGTTTATGATATTTCATTGCCAGAACATAGAGACCTCACTCTCAGAAACCCACTGAAAGGAAATGTTCTTCTTTTGCACTCTGCAGAGGAAATGTTAGCAGCAGTCTCCAGAGCCATCCCCAGCAACCCATTTCCTCCTTACTGAGTCATCCGCATCTCGCTCTGTTAGAAACACCCACCTCCCATAAGAAGAGAACCCTGCTGGATCTGACCAAAGGGCCATCTGGGAGAGTAGAAGCTGCCTTGTACAGAGTTGGACCATTTGCCCACCTAGCTCAGTGCTCTCTCTACACTGAACGGCAGCAGCACTCTAGGGATTCAGGCAGAGGTTTCTCCTAGTCCTATGACCATGGGGCTGAACCAACATTTTGCCAGCCCAATATGTGTGGCAGGTAACATTCTGAACCTTGTTTTCTTGGCTGGGCAGAAAGAGGATGATTTAAAAGTGGGGGACATTGACATCAGTGCCTTGTCATGGCCAGATCACTTCCTGTTGAAGTTTAGGCTTTTGGCATCCCCAGCAACCCATTTCCTCCTTACTGAGTCATCCGCATCTCGCTCTGTTAGAAACACCCACCTCCCATAAGAAGAGAACCCTGCTGGATCTGACCAAAGGGCCATCTGGGAGAGTAGAAGCTGCCTTGTACAGAGTTGGACCATTTGCCCACCTAGCTCAGTGCCTCTCTACACTGAACGGCAGCAGCACTCTAGGGATTCAGGCAGAGGTTTCTCCTAGTCCTATGACCATGGGGCTGAACCAACATTTTGCCAGCCCAATATGTGTGGCAGGTAACATTCTGAACCTTGTTTTCTTGGCTGGGCAGAAAGAGGATGATTTAAAAGTGGGGGACATTGACATCAGTGCCTTGTCATGGCCAGATCACTTCCTGTTGAAGTTTAGGCTTTTGGCACCTTTTCACCTCTTGCAGAGGAAGGGGACCTATTAGTATGGTCCACCCCGAAGGCTGATGGAGGATTTTCCAGCTGATATGGGTGGCACTGCTGTCAAAGCCCTAGCCAACTTCTGGAGTGTCCGAATGGCTTGGGCCATTGACACGATCACCTCTGAGCTCCCTTTCCTGCTTTGTGGATCTCTCTTGGCTCCAGAGCTTAGGGTGAGGAAACAACCTGGGAAACTGCTTGGACACAAGTGGACGAAGATCCGGCTGAATGCAACCACACACTGGTGAGGGCTCATCATTGAGCCTTCCTAGTGGCAGTGAAGGCAGCAAAGAAGGCATACTTTGCTACCTCCACTGCATCCTAATTGTGCCATCCGGCAGAGCTTTTCTGAGTAGTGAAGGGCCTTTCATAGTCTGGCCTGAAAGAGGTGGCAGACCCAATGGTAGCTCGCTGTGACTTCTTGCACAGCATTTTGAGGATAAAATTGCTTGCACCCACCGTGATCTTGACTCCACTTTTGTAGCAGATGAATATTGAAAGGTGCCCAAGCACTTTCTAGTCCTGTTGTGTTGGATGAGTTGGCAAGGCTTGAGGATGCAGACAAGGTGCTTGAATCAGTCAGGGCGACCACTTGTGCTCTGGACCCTTGCCCCCTTAGCTGATAAAAACTAGCAGGGAGGGGACAGCTGACCGGGCCAGGGAGGTGATCAATGCCTCCTTGTGAGAGGGGCTGTCCCTGACTGCTTGATGGAGGCAGTGGTAAAACCACTCCTCAAGAAGCCCTCCCTGGATTTGAAAAATCTTAAGTAACTAACAGCCAGTTGCCATTCTCCCCTTCCTGGGCAAGGTTCTTGAGTGGATGGTTGCAGGGAAATTTCTGAACCCAGAAAGTGCTCGGACACAGAGCTTTGAATTGTGTGCTGCACCAGGAAAGAGTGGAGGAAAGATGAGTCTGGATCAGCCCTTACAGTCAGCTTGTGGGATTTTTCTTTTTGCATGGAGGGAGCAGTTTTTGTGTTCCTTTCTGTTCTCTCAATTTAGACAAAACTTCCATTTTTTGAAAGGAAGCCTTTGTTCCACTAAGGTAAAGGTAAAAAGACCCCTGACCAGTAGGTCCAGTCGTGACCGACAATGGGGTTGTGGTGCTCATCTCGCTTTATTGGCCGAGGGAGCCGGCGTACAGCTTCCGGGTTATATAGCAATAGCTTCTTTGATTCTGCTTGTCAACTGTGCAAGGCATCCTCTTAACTCTCAAGGTAACTTTCCTGATTTGTGGTGTGCTCTCCAAGTGAGTTTCCAATAATGTGTTTTTTAAACAACTCCCAAGTATTCTGGAGTAATTTGACCCTCTTGCCCATGGGTAGGCAAACCAAGGCCCAGGGGCCAGATCTGGCCCAATCGCCTTCTGAATTCAACCCACGAATGGGCCAGGAATCAGCCTGTTTTTACATGAGTAGAATGTGTCCTTTTATTAAAAATGCATCTCTGGGTTATTTGGGGGGCATAGGAATTTGTTCATATTTTCCTCCCAAAAAATATAGTCCGGCACCCCACAAGGTCTGAGGAACAGTGAACTGGCCCCCTGCTGAAAAAAGTTTGCTGACCCCTGCTCTTGCCTTTGCCTTTCAACTTCCTTTTTACCAATCCCTTCATTTGGGGAGAGTTTCCTCTTTTGAAGGCAAAGGTGGCTATGCTGGATATTCTTGGCATTTGGTCATTTACATGTATATTTAGTTTAAAATTTGATGTCTTGCATCTGGTCCTGGGCGCCACCAAAGATGTGTTCCAGGGTTGCCGCCCTTCTTTTTTGTGACTGAATATGGGTAGTTGATGTCACCCATAAATACAAGTGTTGCATTCTTTCCCAGCCTTGAGTCTTTGCCAGCCGTTACTGAGAATTGAACTGGGGACCGCACGCACGCACAGCCTGTGCTCTTCCACTGAGCTATGGCACTTCCCCAGTTGGAGGAATAGGAGGGAGGCCTGTTTTCCCAGCAAGGCTCGCTCTCTGTGTTTCCTGCCTCCGTCCATGCGAGAAAGCTGGATCCTGAATGGAAATGCTTATGCCTTGTTCTGAGGCATGGTGGAGCTGAGCAATGCTATAAATAAAATCCAGAGCATGGTTCAGCAGCCGTCTCTCTGGAATGGTGACTGGAATTATTCCAGGAAAAACACCTCCCTCTTTCTCTCAAAATAACTCCAGTTTCCTCATCTCTTCCCACTCGACTTGCAAAAGCCTAAGCCCCCTCTGACAACCGCTGAAGCACACGAGTGACTCACAGGGCAATCCTAAACATGCTTTTTCAGGAGTAAGGCCTGATCGTTCAGTGAAGCTTGCTCCCCTCGCAAGTATGTCTAGATTGCAGCCTCAAGGAACTAGATCGCTTGCAGTGCCTCGTAGGCAAGTTATGTCATTTCCCAAGATGTTCTTGGATTTTATCTGTAGGTACACTCTGTCTCTCCTCTTCCTTTTAGTTACTGAAATATTTTTACCTTGCCTTTTGACCCAGCAGGCCTGCAGGGGAATTTATAATCTGGTGAAGGGAAGGGGGAAGTTAAAGCACCACAGTAAAACAGCGCAGTTCACTAAAGCAGCCCAGAGAAAGCCAACACTTCATAGGCCAAAGCTGGAGAGCCACACTAGTCATCTGGGATGCAGTGGAACAGCTGCCTTGGGTGCAGAAGGTCCCAGTTTCAGTCCCTGGCATCTCCAGGTGGTGTAATAATAGTTGCTACTATTCTTATTTGGTTGCTTTTTTCCAGAAAGGTTAACTCAAAGCAGGTTACAAAAACAAGAATTAAACATCCTAAAATGCACATCAATATATCCAGGAAATCCAACTCAACACACCCTACTGAAAAATAAGCAGAAAATTGAGGTCTAATAAAAATTAAAAATTTAAAAAAAGGAAAAAAGAAAGAAAATTGAGGTCTAAAGGACCTAGGTGCATAATCCCCCCCCCCCGGTGCCTAATAATTAACAATAATAACTTTCTTATTTGTACCTGCCCATTTGGCTGGGTTGCCCCAGCCTAGAAACAGAGGGTGATGGCTCCAGGCATACGTCCCTGGGAAGATCATTCTTCAAATGGGAAAGCACTGAGAAAGCAGTGCAGCGCAGCTAGAGGGCACCAGGTTGGGAAGTGCTGGTATAGACAGTGCTAAGCTAGATGGGCTAGTGGTCCAGCTTAGTCCAAGGCAGCTTCCTATGTTCTGACAGGAGCCAGCCAGATGCCTTTGGAAGCCCGCAAGTTGAGCATGAAGGCAACAGGCCTCCCCTTTTGTTTGCCCCCACTGTTTGAAATTAATAGCAGATATCTCAGATGGGAGTCCTGTTTTTTTCACTGTAATTGATTCTGTTTTTGTTCTTGTTTTTGTTTTGTTAAGATAAGCAGTGTTTTTTGTTTTTTATGTATTGTATTGTATTGTATTGTATTGTTTTGCTTTAACTCTTTTTTTCTTTTTGTAACTTTTAAACTCTTAATAAACATTACTTTTTTTTAAAAAAAGAGAAATCATAGTGGAGCTCGTAGGACTGAACAAGGAAGGTTGCGACTTGCACATTAGAAGTGCAACGGTGTGTTTCAGGGTACACCCACACCACACATTCAAAGCACATCCAGCACACATATAAAGGACATGGCTTCCTTGGGAGCTGTAGTTTGTTAAGGGTGCTAAGAATTGCAGCCCTGTTGGGGGAAACTGCATTTCCCACAAGCCTTGTGGGGAAGCCACAGGCTTCAAATGTGCTTTGGATGTATGGTGTGGGTCTGCCCTGTTTATGGGGTTGAAAACTGGATATATTGGGTGGGGAAATACCAGGTCTTGTTAAACCCTTAGCAGATTAGAGGCAGCGTACAGAGGAGTTTCCCACAGTTATTCCCCGCAGTAATCCTGCATGGGAAGGTTGAATCGAGATTCCCACAATTTGGCCCAGGCCGTTCAAGCACTGAGCTCCCTGCTTAAGTGGGGGTTTGAAACTAGATTTGACACTCACTACATCATCGCCCTGGTAAAAGAATAAAAGGCAACAGAATACGTTGCGTGCTGTCCTGATTTCCAGGAACTCTGTGTTCCAAAAAGCTCCTCCTGGGAGTAATCTGACTAGCTCCTTAAATAATCAAATGTTTTAAGAACACCTTTTAGAGCAAATTCCTACTGGGGTGTAGGAAACAGAAGCCCCTTGGGACAGTGAAAGAGCTACGAGCATTGAGACTGCAGCTCATTAGATCATTCATGTCGGTGTGTCATTTTTCCAGGCTGCCTCACTGGCCACATGTGAGGTTACTTTAGCCAGATGGGCGGGGTATAAATAATAATAATAATAATTATTATTATTATTATTATTTATTTTCTTCCTTTTTCGGTTCTGAAATGCTTTTTTCAGGAAGGCTCTCTGAAGGTTTTAAGCACAGTGATTTGGCAACTTCAGTACACCAAACTTTGATGCCCGTATCTTTAAGTGGCCCAGTGTGATATTGTAGTGATCCGTAGGAATGCAATAAGCTGCCTTATGCTGAGTAAGGCCATTAGTCAACTTGGCTTCACATGTTGTCCACATTGGCTGGCAGCAGCTCCCCACCGTCTCAGTCTGGGGGTCTTTCCCAGCCCTACCTGGAGATGCTGGGGGCTAAACTTGGGGCCTTCTGCGTGCAAAGCAGGTGCTCTACCCTTGAGCTATGGCCCTGGGCTAGAGGCAGCAGCATCCAGCTATTTGGCCTTCTGCATGATGGAGCAGTCAATGTCACCATCAAATTTATGCCGCTCTGGTATCTATTACTCGGTGACAGTAATGCCAGTGACCCTGCAAGGTGTCTGAATGTGCAGTGATATTTCTGTCAGTGTTTGGTTGTAGTAATGAAACTGTAGCGCCAGTAAGGAAGGGATAGAACAGTGTGATTCATTTATTCTGCTAGGATACACAGGTTTGGGAGAGTCTGGCTGTGGGATGAATTGTATGGACAGATCAACACTACTTCCTGTCTTGCTGAATTTAACAGGAAGTCTCCATTGCTATGCATTGTGTGCTGCAAGAAGGTCTCCATGCCTGGGAGAGCTGGGCAGGGGAATTTTCTGAAGAATGTCCCTTTTGCTTTTCTATTAGCAGGAATTTGCCTGCTACTTATTCTATGGACTAAAGATATTTTACTCTGATGCCAAAGAGACTGCACAGTGGAAATCAGACCACCGGAGGGAAGCTGTATATTTACATTCCAACTGTAGTGTTTATGTACAGATTGAATGGTAGAGGAAATATTTGGACTAGCATTTCCAGAAACGAAAAAAATATATCACCGTCTCAGGGCCTGGTTTGAGGGCACATGACGCATTCACTTTGCTGAACCTAAGCAGCTCTGGGTCTGTTCAGCGCCCGAATGATAGACCACCTAGGGACCCAGTATTTGCCACTTTGAATTTATTATTGAAGAAAGGGAGGGTATAAATGCAATAAATGAACAAGTAATTCATTAATGTTGTAGTATAGGTGACAATGCAGTTTATCCTGTGGATCTTCAGTGTTCTAGGAAGAGAGGCCATTTTCAGATATTAAAGGAAGACAATTGATCATCTGTAAACACACACACACGGTCACACTTGAGTGTGACCAAGAAACAAGCCAGGCTAAAATATGCAGATGAAGAAATAGGGCCATGTAAATAGAAGCTCTTTTTTGATAATGTCGAGTATCCCCCAGTGACTGAGATCAGTGGGCTTTAACTTCCACTTAGTGGTTCAACAGTGACAGATCCCCACCATATGTCCTGTGAACTGTAGTTTCCCTCTCGCAGAGCTATGATTCGCAATAATGCCCCCAACAGGCTACAGTTCCCAAAATTCTTTGGGGGAAATCACATGCTTTAAATGTGCATTAGATGTGCTCTAGATGCATGGTGCAGATCTGCCCTGTGTCTCTAGGTGCACTTTGCATACTCTACTTTAAATTTGGTAGGCCTCCTAGGAGCCAGCCCCACTCATGGACATGCCCTGAAAGGTACTCCTTAAATTTGTCTTGCTGATTCAAGTATGTCCCTGATTCAAGCATGCTTACCCAGAGCCCTACTCCACACTTAGTTTGATTCTGAATGATAACGTTGAGCCATAAACTTTATGAGTATTTGGAATACTAGGATTGAGTTTCTGATAAAAGAACTTTTCTGCACTTGCAGCAAGACTGGTGTATGACTCAGTATGGCCTAGCTGACTTGCCGCTCTGCCATAAACATCCTTGTTCTTACCTACCCAGCAGTTCTGAGGGTGGGATCTGTACAGCTGGTGGCTGTTTGCTCTTCACCAGACTGCCTGCATACACCAAGTGCACTCAGAAGCAGGCCTTTATACAGATCCATGGTGAGACAGTGCTTGGAATACCGTGTACAGCTCTAGTTGCTGCACTTCCCAAAGAATATTGCAGAGCTGGGGAAAGGTCCAGAAAAGAGCAGCCAAAATGATCAAGGGGGTGGAGTGATTCCACTGTGAGGAAAGGCTTTTTAGTTTAGAAAAAAAGGCAAGTAAGCGGGGGTGAGATAGAGGTGTAGAAAATAATGCATGTCATACAGAACATGGGTAGACTGACATTTTCCTCCCTCTGTCATAATACTAGAACTCATGGACATCTAGTGAGGCTGGATGTTGGGAGATTGAGGACTCATAGAAGGAAGGACTTCTTCAATTCGCCCCCACGGGAGGCAGAGATGGCCACCAAGGTGGATTAGGGCTTATCCACACATACCTTTTGACCCACTCTTTCCAGGCAGAGGTCTGTGTTTTAATGCTCAGTGTCTGAACATTTTTGGTTTCCCCCAGGATTTCCCTGCAAAAACTCGTGCTTTACAGCTGAATCGGAGCAAATGTCAACTCTTGATGTTTGTTCCGATTGACCTTTAAAGAAGTGCTTGTACACAGAGTTTTAAATTGAGGTCCGTGCTTGGAAAGAACGGAGGAAAGGTAAGTA